GGAGTAGCCTGACCACTTAGAGGTGTAGTCTGGACACCGATGGGGGCTGTCTGGGTGCCAAGAGGAGAAGCTTGGCCACTTGGAGGTGCGGTTTGGATACCTGTAGAGGCTATCTGGGTGCCAAGAAGAGCAGCCTAGGCATTTGGAGGTGCAATCTGGGTGCCTGCAGGGGCTGCCTGGGCGCCAGGAAAAGCAGCTTGGGCACTTGGAGGTGCAGCCTAGGCGCCTACAGGGGCTGCTTGGGTGTCCCACATCTGGGTATCCCTGCAACTCCCTTCTTCAGCTGGTGTGAGCTCAGTAATAAAGTCTGTCAAAGCTTGTGCTTTGATGGTTGCCCTTGGTTGGTACTAAATGTCAAACTTTCCGAGTTCCACTGCCTATTTAAGAAGTCTGCCGGATACATCTGGCTTTCTCAAGATTCTTTTAAGAGGTTGGTCTGTGACTACCACTATGCTGTGACTCTGAAAGTAGTGTCGTTGTCATCTTGCCGTTGTGATCAAGGCGAGCGCCAATTTTTTTAGTCCCAAATATTTGATCTCTGCCCCCCCGGTATGCCCTGCTTATGTAATAAATTGGCTTCTGCACTCCATTATCATTTCTGATGAGTATTGAATTTACTGCTGATGAGGAAGCAGAAAGATAAAGATGAAGAGTTTTTCCTAGAGTGGCATGTGATAGGAGGGGAGGTGTGGCTAGGTAGACCTTGAGCCTTTGGAAGGCCTCCTCCGCCTCAGGTTCCCACTCAAAAGCCTTCCGGAGAATCTTGAAGAAAGGTAGACATTTGTCTGCAGATTTGGAAACGAACCTATTGAGTGCAACGATTCTTCCATTGAGGCGCTAGAGCTCCTTGGTCGAGGAAGGTGACTTCATGTCGAGAATAACCTTGATTTTATCGGGGTTCGCCTCAATTCCCCTCTGATTGACCATAAAGCCCAAGAATATTTCAGACCCTACGCCAAAGGCGCACTTTTCAGGATTGAGCTTCATGTGATAGGACCTTAGGACATTGAAAGTTTCTTGGAGGTGATCAATGTGGTCTACTGCTGCGAGACTTTTCACCAACATGGACCTGTAGCAATAGGTTTCCTTAGTCCGAAGGGCATGAACCGGTAGCAATAGGTTTCCTTCAGAGTGATGAATGATGTTTTCTCCTAGTCTGGGAAGTACATGCTAATCTAGTTGTACCCAGAATAAGCATTCAGGAAAGTGAGCAACTCATGCCCCACGGTGGCATTGATAAGGAGGTCGATCCGTGGTAGTGGATAGCTGTCTTTTGGGCACGCCTTGTTGAGTTCTGTGAAGTTGACGCAGAGATGTTACTTTCCATTAGTTTTAGTGACCATCATCATGTTGAAGAGCCACTCAGGATACGCTACTTCCGTGATGGCTTCGTTATCTATTAGCTTTCCCACCTCCTTATCCATAGCTTGGGCCCTTTCAGTGGTGGCACCCCTTAGCTTTTGGCGAACAGGCTTGTGGCATGGGTCTACATTGAGACGGTGTGTGGCCACTTCTGGGTCAATTCCCTCAAGGTCTGTATGTGACCACGCAAAGACGTCCATGTTACGTCTCAAAAAGTCTATTAGCGGGCCAACCAGGTCTTCAGAAAGGGAAGAGCCGATGTATACTCTTCTGTCTGGGTACTCCTCATCCAAGGCCGTAGAGGTGAGCTCCTCGACTGGTTCTCCTCTTTCTATGGTGGCGTCATCCCTCGGATTAAGGACCTCCACTTGCAATGCTTTCTGTGGCTTCTTGGTCTTCATGGAGGAGACATAGCACTACCTCGCTGCTATCTGATCTCCTCTGACCTTTTCGACTCCATTCGCAGTTGGAAAGTGGAGGATGAGGTGATAGGTGGAGGGCACAAATCTTAATGTGTTAAGAGCAAGTTGCGCCCAATATGATATTGTAGGCTAATGGGCAGTCTATGACCAAGAAATTGACCATGAATGTGGAGCTCCAGGGCGACGCTTCAGATGTGACAGGTAGGGTGATGGACCCTAGAGGATATACCTTTTCCCCTAAAAACCCAATGAGGGGGTGATCTAATAGGCTACAGTCTCTCTTTGCCCAGGTTAAGCTTGTCATAAGCCTCTGCGAACAGGATATCCACAGAGTTGCCACTATCCACCAGGATCCTGCGCACATGAAAATTGGCCACGGTCAAGGTGAGCACCAAGGGGTAGTCATGGGGGTGCTGGATTCCCTCTAGGTCCTTATCTGAGAAAGATATAACCTTGTTGTCTCCCTACTTTGGCACTTTGGATGGACGTATCTCGTCGAGGTGCCTTGCCTTTCTAGCGTGATTCTCCACCTCCTGCTAGTCCTCTGGAGATGGTGTGGATCTCCCCCACAGGCTGCTAGTCTTCTTGATTATGAGGTGGTGGTGCTCATTCTCTGCCAGCAACATACTGGCGTAGGTGGCCACAGTGGATGAGTTCCTCAATTTGTCTTTTTAGGTCATAGCAATAGTCAATGTCATGCCCATGGTCACGGTGGAAATGATAATACTTATTAAAATTTCTACGATTTGGAGGAGACTTCATCTTCCCTGGCCACTTTATGGCGGGGTTATACTGGATCTGGAATAGGATGTGCCCAACAGCGGCATTGAGGGGAGTGAAGGCTTGTCGGTCCTTCTAAGGAGTAGGACCTAGCCGGTCTTTGACAGGAACCTTCTCTGTTCTGTCGCATTTGTTGTTGGTCTCCTTCTTGTCTTATCTCTCTCTTTCCTTCCTCTTTTCCCCTGCTGCTCTGGAGGACTCACCTCGCCTGGCCCTAGTAATGTCCTCAGCATTCATGTATTTCTGGGCCTTTGCTAGTAGTTCTGGCATGCTCTTTGGTGGTCGCTTCATCATTAAGAAAATGAAGTTTGACGAGCGGAGGCCTCCCAAGAAGGTAGTCATCGTCACTTTGTCGTTTGACTTATCAACTTGGAGTACCTCCTCGTTAAAACGAGTGAGGTAGCTCCTCAGGCTCTCCTCCCTGTCCTACTTTATGCTAGTAGATGGGTGACAGGCTTCTGATGGCGACGTCTTCCAATGAAATGAGATACGAATGACCTGCTCAGCTTAGCGATGGAGGCTGGGGGGAGCTTAGCGAACCATTGTCGTGCAGACTCCTTCAATATGGTTGGGAAGGCCCTGCACATGATTTCGTTTAGAACGTTGTGCAGCTGCATTAGAGTCTTGTAGGTGTCGAGGTGGTCTAGTGGATTTTTCGTTCCGTCAGAGGTCTCAACGGATGGCATTTTAAAATTTTGAGGGAAGACCACGTCAGGTTTGAAAGACGTGTCTGTACGCCTTACCAAGTAGTCTACTGTCTTGGGTCTCTATGCCTTCATGGCATTGAAGACGTCACCCAATTGATTTTTCACTTCCTTGATCTTCTTATCCCATTGGTTGAGGGGTCCCTTGGAGGAGGAGGTGGTGGAACTCCCCCATTATGGGCTCCCTTGTGTGGGGCACCCAAGGGGACTCCAAGAGGGGGGACCCAGCCCTGCAGGGGCTCCCAGGTGTGGTGCAGCAGGGTGTGGAGCTCCTTGATGCCCAGGGCGTGGAGCTCCTTGGGGGTCCTCCATGCTGTGCACCTCCAAGTTGCGCTCCTCTTCGTCCAGCGAGCATGAGTTGTATTATCTGCTGGTTTTGGGCCACCAACTGCTACATGGTCTCTAACATTTGTTGTGGATTTGGAGTTGGAACATTTGGGATAGGGTTGGTGGGTGGAGGAGCAACCTCCTTTTCTCGGGATGGATTGTTTTCATATTGGTTCATGGATCTGATTGTGATCGTTATTAGTTCAGCAAATGGAATGTTCAAGAGTGAGAGTTTTGTCGCTTTCCCACAGACAGCGTTAAACTGATGATGGACAAAGTAGTTTTACACATCACCTGTCAAGTTTGAATAATAAATGCAAGAAAATAATATCAGGAGATGGAGAGACACATGTAATTTATAGTGGTTCGATCAGCTTGACTTACGTCCACTCTTCAATGACTCTGATTGTCGGATATTTTATTAACTCAAGGGTGTGGAGAGTAGAGAGTACAAACTTTGAGGGAGAAGAGAGAGTCGTGCTCAAGTAAAGTGTGTTGTCCCCCCAAGTGTTGGTGGGGCGTGCAATTTATAATAGTCCCCTAATAGATTGGGGCTACTTTACAGCAACTAAGCGACTACTCTGGTGGAGCTCACGACTTCTTCTCAACCGGGGGGGAGAGGAGGTTGAGGAGCTATCCTTGAGATGTGGTCAAAGATAAGGTGAATGTGGACTTTTTCCTTTGCGGTGCAGGTAGGGCTCTCATGCTCCCTCTTGATGATGTAGCCAAGCAGAGAGTTTGACTGATCTTGAACTATGATGGGCTTGGTGGATCTTTCATGAAGTTGAGCTCCTCAATTGGGATTGGACTTCTCACATAAATTGGACTATTTGAGCTTAACTCATCATAACTAATGACCCAAACTAAACCCAACAACAACATTTTCATACGACTTGTAGAATACTAGGATTTCACTAAATTTTTTTGTAATTTTTAATTGATCGATAATATCATGCATAAAAAATAATATAATATTACCGTTGCTTTCTGCTCTTATCGGAATTCATCATCTTATGCATGAACTTTTTACCTTTGTCATGTTAAGACGGTCTATCAATCAATACGACAACTAAATGGACGGCACACCTTGTATGAATTAAGTCTAGCCTTGGGCAGATAATTTCTAGAACATTCCGTTAGGCTGGTGAACCCCGAGGCCCGGCCCATGTCAATAAGCCACGTCAATGAATTTCACCATAGAAGGCAAATCCGTCAAACAACAATGGCATTTAGGTAACTTCAAACCAACATTCAAGGCCTCCGAACACGACCCTTAGACCAGTAATGAACGACTGATGTAGTTGGTGAACACCGTACCAAGAAAACCTCTTCTATCAGTCTTCCTCTCGCTAACTTCCGTATCCAAGAAACAGACACACACAGTGGGGTCTCGTAATCGGAAGAGATGGGGTGGATGAGTCGATTTCTGGCGGCGGTGGCATTCTTGGCTATCGGAGTGATATTCTCTCCGGAAACATTCGGATCAAAATCCGACGGCCAGGAACCCCCCAAGCTCACCACCTTCCTCAAACTAGCCCACCTCCTCTGCTTCTCCACAGCTTGGGGCGCTGCTTTATGGGTCACCTTCATCGGCGGCATCATAATGTTCAAGTAATCGACACTCTCGCTTCCCAATTTTCTTTTTCTTGTTCAAACTTGAAATAATTGATACTAACACGCATCAATTATTGAAAATCACTGTATTCTGTCTATGGTTGTAGGAATTTACCGAGGCATCAATTTGGTAATTTGCAAAGCAAGATGTTTCCGGCATACTTTTCGATGGTTGGTGTGTGTTGTGTGGTGTCGGTGGCGTGTTTCGGATACTTACACCCGTGGAAGACTTCGTCTACTACGGAGAAGTACCAGCTCGGGTTCCTTCTCGCTGCTTTCGCTTTCAATCTCACCAATCTTTTTGTCTTCACGCCCATGACCATTGAGGTATAGTAGTAATTCACAGCAACTGGTCACTGAATATATCTTTTCTTTTGAATGTTGTCCTAGCATTTCTCAGGTTTATTCAAATTTTGTATGTTATTATCAATGTCTAAATACCTTTGTGAGCAGATGTGTTTGGGGGCTCTTGTCACTTACAACTTCGGAAAGTAAGTTTCATCGTTTGGGTCTGTACCAGTTCTTGAATTTCACGATTAATGATAATTTTGAGCTTGAGACCGAACAAAACTGCTTCATTGCTAGCGTGTTGATGGACTATACATTTATGTGAGAACGTAGGTCCAAAGCAAGGTGGATTGATGATTATTCAGTTTGGTGTTCTCTTTTTTTGCCTTTATCTTTTAGTTTCCTGATTGTTATGGCCTTGCACCCTTATATCCTTAGATTGAACCCTGAACCTCCCCTGCGGTGGTGGAAGGGGAGTCCACCTGGTGGTGAGTAATTCCTTGTGTTGAATGCAAGTCCATTTGGTTTTGAGGCGTTATATTGTTATATTAATATGATTGTTGGGGAAATGCAGTGATTCTCTTATGGTTCATTAGGAGTCTGGTTCTAACTTCTTTCTATTGAAGTGTTGATGGATTTTGTGTTTAACATGTGAAATTTTGTTTCTTATGGTGTTAGATGATGAAGCAAAGGCACAAGGTTGAGAGAGAAGCGAACATCGGAGAAGAAGTTGGTTGGACTAAGAATCAAGAAGTTGCAAAGGTTAATCCAAAACTTAAAGCAATGAATAAGAAATTTGGGATGATTCACGGACTATCTTCTCTCGCTAATATCATGTCTTTTGGAAGCCTTGCAATGCATTCGTGGTACCTAGCGGGTAAAATTGATCTCTAAAGAGATTTCCATTTCCCTGTCTTTAACAAAGATGCATTATGGCCTTCATTGTATTTGTATGCTATGTCAAATAATCAAGAAATAGTTTCTTCTTTTTATGGATATCAGTTCTGATTGTTTCCGTGCCAAGTTATGTTTAATTGACCCGTACACTGATAAAACCAATCACCTGTCTCATTGCATATGTTGATGTAAAATTTCATGATAATGCACACGCCAAGTAAAAACTCTTATATATGCCGAGGGCAGTTTGAACTTCCTCTGGAACTGAAATAATGTTACTGTGTGGCTCCTATCATTTATTCCATGTTCATTTTGTTTTGTAGTGTACTTGGAATAGCTTAGTATTCACAGATCAAAACAAACAAGAAAAAAGGGGGAAAAACATGCCGACCAATTAGCTTACTATGCTTCAATATAAGTTTATTTACATATTTCATTGATTAGCATCCTTCATATTATGTTAGCGTGTTGTTGATGACTGCCAAGGTCCAGCCAACCAACAAGGCTTTTCTTCATAATTTTAACTTTTGGAATAACATAGTCCTGCAATACCAGCAGGAAGCACAAAACCTTGTGAAATGAATAGTATATATTAAATATAAATCACGGTCACAGGTAAGTGTTACTTAACAAAACACTAAGAGCAGCGATAAGTTACATATATGTGAGCAATATGCAAACATGCATAACAATGGCAAGTACACTTCGGTGAAAACAACGATTCTCCGGGAGAATTTTTCTTTTACTGGTATGTAGCTCCCAATACAATACTGTCATTATATAATGTTTTGCCTCTTGGCATCTTTTATGTTTTTTTGCCTATTCGTAAATGTTAAAGTTGATGAATAACTGGATTGTAGCGGATGAATATATTGTAGGAAGCCGAGTAATAAGTTATGAGGCAGATGATTTATTTGACACAGTAAAAATTAGATTACTGAATAATGTTGGCGCGAGAATTCTGGCATTCGTCGTATGTTATCGCAAATAATCAAGAAATATTTTCTTCTTGTCATGGATATCGGTCTGATTGTTTCTGTGCCAAGTTATGTAGAATTGAACCACACTGATAAAACCGAGCATCTGTCTCATTGCATATGTAGATGCAAGAGTTGATGCTAATGCCCATGCCAAGTAAAAACACTTACATTTGTTGAGGGCAGTTGAAACTTCTATTGTATAAAAACATTTTTTTTGGGTATTTATAACATGAAACAAAAAATAGGCACTCGGTGATATCAGTTTGGTGTCACTTCGATTCTTGTCTCAAAGTTTGTATGTTTGCATTAAGGATTAATTTGGTCTTTTGATTTTGTTACATACTTTTTGAATTATTAATATTTCCATGCAGAGGAAATTGCACAAACTGCATCATGTATCCCCTGGAAGCAGTCACTAATATAATGAAAGAAATCGTGAATGCAGTAAACCAAAACAAGAAGAGGAGTCTCACCCTACATAGCATCCCAAACAAAAAAAAAAAATTACTTCTCTCCTGCAAAATAGATATAAATGGATTTATCTTCACTGTATTCGTATCGCGTGTTTTGTATATGTTAATCTTTTCATGGTAACATGTTTTGCTGGTATAACCAAGTTAATGAAGAATATGGTACTCTTAGAACATCTTCAATATTGGCTCAAATACTTATTCAATTTGAGTAAAAAGTTTGATTTGGTACAGACTACTCTAATGAAATTTTTTAAAATATTTACTCAGGTCTTTTCAAAAATCTCCATTTAATCCTTAATGCAAGACTGCTATGGAATAGAGCTATGGTGTCGTCATTCTTCTTCTTTTTTTTTTTTTGGTCAGGAAATATAAGATTCTGTAAATAAAAAACATAGTACTCTTTACAATTTGATTCATTCATCCTACTCCTTTTCTAGCTTCCATCCTAACAATATGCATCACAGATTGAGGGAGGCAATCCTTCTCTAGTACATTATATTTCTCACTTCTAGTGTAGGCCGCAAGTATATGGGCAACCTTGTTCTGGGTCCTTCGTGTTGTTTGGAACTTCACCAATAAGAGTAATTGAGCATAGCTCCATATGTCCTTTTGTAAAGCTGCAATCCCTTTCAAAGTATTCCCTATTGTTCCCATTGATAGAATCTATAAGCTACTTTGAGTATGATTAAACAATGACGACACCATAACTCTATTCCATAGCAGTCTTGCACGCTCGCCTGACTACATAAGCCTCTGTCCTTAAGACAGAAGCTGCTGTCACGGTTTTGGCCTCAGTCATGAGCACTCTGTCTTCATGATCTCGAACTATGATACCATAAGCTGCGCAATTAATCTTCAAAACCCCCTGCGGAGGCAATTGCCAAGCCATTTCAGGTTCACCAAATGAGTTCCCACCCTTTATAGATACACCCTTGCAATTGTTCAATTCTTCCACTGTTGTTACAGCATTTGTAATAACAGATTTACTGAAACAAGTTCCCAATAAACCAAAATTTCCAACATTTGTAAACGAAAATATACTCAATCTACCTAGTAAATATTCCAACAAAATCCATCTTGCAATTACAGAATCCTACAAGCCCACGACGAAGTAACAGTAGACACCGACGCCACCAAGGACCAACAAGATTCAAATTTGCACGAAGACACCAGCACAAAAGGAGACACCGGAGTGAACTCTGGATCAAATCTATACTGGTCGGCAGTGGCAAGTGATGAACAAAGGAAGAGGAGTGAAATATTTTGAGTAGAGAATTCTCCTTTCATTTGACTCAAAATTTTAGTTTTTTTTTTATTTGGTGTAAGTTTGAGTCTAAATTTGAGTCCGAAATAGAGATGACTTTATTGGATTTAAGAATTAAGTAAATTCTACACAATCAAAACTAAATTTTAGATTTAATTCGGATTACATTTAGTCGAGCCAAAAAAACTGCATACGATTAAGATCCACTCGTGGTTGAAATGAGTTGGCAACCAATCGGGGAACTTGGGCCGTCGGTATATTGGGCCAATCGGGCTCAAATTGCTCGTGAATGAACTTGGGCCGTTGTTTTGTTGTGCCTAATTGGGCTCATCCCTTGTGGGCTGCAGTGCAATCGGTGACAAATAAAACGACTGGTCGTCTTAAACCGTCGATGAAATTCGATAAAATTCTCAACCACACGAGCACTTTCTGTGCCCAAACCCTTTTGCTATAGTATCCACACGTACTCTCTCTCTCTGTATATCTTTCGATTCTTTGTTTTCGTATTTGTTCATCCACCGATTCACAGATGCATGTAAATTGTTGTGACTTTGATTTTAACCTAGCTTTTTTAGGTATTTTTTTTTTTTTTGATCGGTATCTTTTTTAGGTATTCGATTGCTTATTTTCACTTGTGCCATTAGAAAGACGCAACAGTATTGTAATGAATCCTAGAAAATTTACGATTACTAGTTTTGAGTGCAGTAGTTTGTAATCAATTTGAATAAGATATATTTGATGAGCTAGAGTTTTTGTTCGATTAAAGTGGTAAACAAAGATATTTACTCCATCGTATTGACGATGAAATTAGGATGCAAACAAATAAGATATTAGTAAAGGACTTGGGTTCATATTAAGCTTAAACCTAAGGAGTGGTTGTGCAATATGCCCAAGAAAATAGTAATTTTGTCATCTATCTATTTTGTTTTGGATTTAATGCGCCTAATCCAATAGCGTTATTAGATTTGGATTGAATCCGCAGATCAACCCGATAAATTGGTGAATTGGACTCTAAAGGGTCAACTACTGAATTCCTGAACTGTCAATAAACCTTACCTCTAAAAAAAAACTGTCAATAAACTTCTAATAGTATGTTTGGATGAAATTTGGTTAAGGGATTGGACTGGTTTAATAAAACCAGTCCAAACCCTTCCAAACATAATCTTATCTTTAAGTAAATGAGATTAAAAGATGAATCCAACTTTATTTATGAACTACATATTTTAGAATTTTTTTCTTCCCAACTTATAATGTCAAACATCAATGCTGATAAAAATTTATGCATTTCACATAACCACAATAAAATAATCTCTTATGTGAAACATTATCATAGTCCGAAAATTAGTTGTACGAAACATTCTTATAAAATAACATTCAACATATCGAAATATACAAAATAATTATACATCCAAAAATAAACTGTATCTTTAATTATCCTATGAAAATTAATGCTTGAAGTTGCTTTTGTTAAATGACAAAAGCGTAATGATGGCCCAAAAATGGGATCATGCCCTTTCTCGCATTCACAAAACTCAAATGCTTGTGTTGATAAACCAACTAGTTCTGTACATTGATATCTGTATAGAGTAGACAAGAAATGGATTTCAGAGGTACAAATGTAATCTTTAATTCCAAATCAGTTTGCCCTTCGAAACCCACACCGGAATTGTTGAAATCCACTTTCATGGGGGTGTTTGGTTTGATGCAGATAACCCACGTAAATTGAGTTTAAATTTTCCGGCCCATATATCTCAAGTTTGGATCCACAAAACTTGATGGAATAAACATCGGGGTCAAATATTCGGCCCGTAGTAATTGAACCCATTTATCTCCTCCGAACAGGATATAAATAACCCACCGATTTTTTGGGATTAATTTCCTACCAATAGGATAAAAAACCATTTTACCAATATACCACCAAAAAGTATTTTTGTGTCCTAGGGTTTAATCAGTCAGTGGGGCCCTTTCCCCTTTTCCCTTTCCCCTTTCCCCTTTGTTGGATGGTATGCTTCACTGATGGTATGTCTCTCTCTCTCTCTCTCTTCTCTCTCTCCATTTCTTCGTCTCTGTCCTTTTCTTTCTTCCGCCACCGCTCTCTTCCTTTCTTCCCCCACGTCTACTGTCCAGCGATGGCCACAATTTTTTTTTTCTTTTACCGTTTAAATGACTTACAATTTTTTTTGGTTCTCTCTCCCTCGGTCTCTCCCCCCCTCCCCCTCTCTCTCTTTCTATCCAACGCCTCTCACTTTCTCCGTCGTTGGCCACTTCCCAGGCAGCATACTAGTAGACGTTCCTGCGATGATCAAGAAGGAATTTTTTTTTGTTCTCTCAATCTCTGCCTCTCCCCCGGTTTCTCTCTCTCCGACGCCTCTCCCTTATCAAACCTTTAAACCCCACAACGCAATTTCCTCCTCCACTACTACACCCATTCTTTTGTGATCAGAAAGAAAACCCATGAAATATGACAGAATTCCAAATGGGTATGAGAACTTTCTCCTTGATTCTTATGCTTCTACCGTCTTTATTGGATAGGTATGATAATTCCCCAAATCGCCTTTATCTGGCCTCGCCTCATATATGCTCTCTCTCAGTTTTTGCGTCTCTGGTTCTTTGTCTCCCTCTCCCTCTCCCTCTTCTTTTTGTGTTTCATTTGCTACATTGCTGGCACTTCACAGCCCAGCATCACACAACGATGCAATGTAACACACACGAAACCGTAGACATTTGAACACACATACACACAACGATTGAAATTCACACGCACAAACACAAATTCTCCTTATACACACACATGTTGGATATTATGCCAAATATGAGATAGATTTGGATAAAATTGAAGCGAAGAAGGTAAATTAATGTCTATGAGATTTGCCTAAAAAAAAAAAATTGGTTTGTCTGTAAGCTCACAATATCATAAATTGCTATCCTAATCAAGGATAGAATAAATCCATTTACTTTTATTCAAAATTGTATCCAATTTGTTGGAATTTCATTGGAGAGGTTTGAAATTTAAATCTAATTTAATCCACCAGAGTTTTGCCAAACATCTTCCATGGGTTTAAGAAGCAGGTCAAGTCCGGGTCAGGACTTCAGTCCGACCTTCAATTTTTGCATCCAAACAGAGGTATGGGTGAGGGATTGGATAATTTTTTTAAATCCACCTTCCATACAGAGCTACCCAAATCCTCGAAACAAACCGCCCCTAAATCAGTCGGTTAATGGAAAAACTAGTGAACCGGACGATTTTAGAGACCCAGACGGCTCATATTTGAGTGATATAAAAACCCTTGGTTTGGGCCAATTTTGCCCCAAGTCGATCTCCTCAGTCCTTTCCAATTGTCTGTCTCAGAGACGCACTCAACCCACTCCATCTCTCTCCCTTCTCCGGTAAAGGTTGTAACTGTAAGCCCTCTCTCTCTCTCTCTCTCTCTCTCTCTCTCACACACACACACATAGAGATGCACTCACGACGTCACACACCCACTCGATCTCTCTCCTTTGACACTGCCACACACCCACACTCGATCTCTCTCACGGACGGACTCACAAGTCACGGCGCCAGACACCCATACTGCCACACGCCCACTAAATACTGTCTCTTTCTTTCTCTCCTTTCTCTCACAGATGCACTTAGCCTCCAGACGCAAACAAACCCACTCGCACTCAGACCCACGGACACACGTACACACCAAATCGTGTGTGATTTCATCTAATTTCAGTCATAGTCCAAATTTATGCTTTATCAGTTTGTGGTACTTAGCCCCATAAGTATTTATGCTTTATCATTCCAAATTTATGCTTTATCAGGTTGTGCGAAGTTATGGTTTATCAGTTTGTGGGAATTTATGCTTTATCAATTATCAGT